TGAAAAGCAATGCAACTATGTTCTATGTATGTTGACTTTTATTGGTTCTGTTGTCTTGTGAATTTTAGCTAAAACGGCCTCTTTTCTGATTTTTATCTCTCAATCTATGAAATAAACACGAAAACTATGTTGGAATGAAATTTCTAGAACAATATGAGGAACATTATGCCGTACACTACACATTTTTATATCATACGGGTGGAAAATTCGTAGAACAAATACTTTAAAATTCTTCGCTTTTTAAGATATCTTCGAGCATGAAACTAAGTCAAACTTCAATAAAATCACTTCTAATAGTCAACCTTTGGTCACAAAGTTGATACATGACACATTAAACTTTGCTATGAAAGTTGTTACAGCAGTTTTCGTTATTTAAGTCTCGAGATACAAATATTGTAAGCCGTAAATTACCTTAAAAACATAAAATTAACTTGAAGCACCTCAAAATCATCACCGATTTTGCTGAAAATTTACACAGAAGTACAAATTAACATGACGAACAGTAATCACGGTTGACCCGTTACATTCCGAACATTTCGTTTAAAATGAACAGGTCTAATATCCACCATTTTGAGAAAACCGAAGTTGAAGTTCGACAGATTATTATTTTAACTGTTTAAAAATAATACATTTTGCAATACTATTTTTAATGTAGCAAGTGTATAATAACGTTGAAAATTCAAAAGAAACGGTAAAATCACAATTTTACTTTGAATTTCATGCTACAACATAGAAAAAACCACATAGGACGTTTTGACAAGTCGAGTTGTACATCGGACATGTTACATTGGACGATTTTTCTCAATGACATAATCAATGAGTGTTACATTGTACGTTTTGTCTACATGATACTAGATTCCCTTTCACAGATTTCAGAGTATACTTGGAAAAAAATCCGTTCCCGAAAACGGGAACGGACCGTGAACTAAAAATCACGGCCAGCTATTCAGAACAAAATTTTCTCAAATATACACCGTGAACTATGGTTCACGGCTGTGGTTCACGAATATGGGAACTCTTTTTTTCCCGTGTAGTACCTAACTTTAGACTGGCCCCGCCTTTGGAAAATGAGCACCAATCATGTTAGGCAGTCCGAATGACCGAAGTAACAATCATGTACCAATCATTTCAAATTGTACATTGGACAATTTTCGATCAATGATTATCTTAAATAAATGAAAGTAAATTTGGATGGATGTTTTTGTATCACATACAATGATAGAAGAGCAATAGTTTGTATCGCTTAACTCGATTTGTTTACATTTGTTACATTGGTCTATTTGAAAAATGACGCGAGAAATGTCCGTTATTTTGGTTGATTTGCCTTGCCAATTCAAATTTTTGACGGCAGTTTGACAGTTTCGCTTGGCTGCTATTCAACAAGCATTTGGAGTCAGTCTAAACTACCCTCTTAAAGTGCTTGCGTGAACAGCTCCATATTAATGAAATTAACTCTCAACGTGCGAACTGACATTAGAAGTGATTGATGAATGAATTAATGAATGTCTTTAAAAAATCAGTGAAAATAACTTAAATACAATAATTTGCTGCTAGCCAACCTATAAAAAAGGGGAATTTCAAATGTTTTCGTTTCAAAGCTGGTGTAAATTTAAGCGTGAAAAACAGTGTTTCAAAGATACATTGAGTAGTTGTAGAATGTCGTTTAAAGTAAAATAACAAAATACCGAGCAACGTTGAATAGTCTCTCGGTTATCTGGGTCTTTTGAAATCTGTTATACATACGTTGACAGATCGATGTCCATGTATAACACTTCAAAAACCAAAAAAGTTTCAACTTTTGATGTTCAAGCTCCACATATGTTATAGGATATAATTCCGGAACTTTCCAGTCTCGGAGCACTAAATTTTACATGACATTTTTGTTTACGGCTCATCCTTTAGGTCAAAAATGGATTCCGTCACGTGTAAAATTACATTTTTTCTAAGTGTGTATATTAGCCGTGTTATATTGCTTAACGGTCAATAGGTGGGATTGTTGGGGCAGTGGTTATTTTAATTTATTATGCATCTGGTGCTCAGAATATTTAAACAAGCGGGTGATATATTCTTCCCTTAACTGAAAATTAATTAATTTGCAGCTTAGTATCAAATAAACTAACAAATAGTGCTGGAACAATCGCTACCAAAATCAAAACAAAAGAGTCCTTATAAACGGTAGTGCTAGCTTTAAATGCGTAGTTGACGTAGGAATCTAAAAAATTAATGGAGGGGCGGCAAAAGTTCACGACCGTCCCCCTCCCTACGCTGGCACCCATCCCCATAAGCCATGTAGATATCGGTCCATTCAAAGCCTCGAAAATTTGTGTGATGCCTAGAGAAAAGGAGGCATTAAATCTCCAAAAAACTGTCTTCGTAATAGGACAGCCCCTGACTGGAGCTCCTATCCTGTTTGTCATGTCACCATAAAAGCCCACCCCAGGAAAATTAGGATATCATACCAAACCCTTTGCGCACAGGTATGCAAAGAACTCACATTCAGTACCACCTTCTCAAAAGATTACATCTAACCTCTGCATGTTTGTATCGAGACAGAAGCAATGAGCGATGGTAGGTAAACAACATGATGAAACGCATTCGAGTTTTGGGTTAGTCGATGTGTGAATAATTCAGAGCGGATTAGTTTTCTTTCAGTTTGGGGAAAAAGTACCCCTATTTGAAAAACCAAAAGCAAGAAGAGGGATATCCTTTGAAGGTTGATTTTAATATATGTAATTTGTAGAACGTCAGCGCGAAGGAGAATGTTCTTTTCTCGTGATGAGGCAAAAGGGTTGCAAACTCGACATGACGTGGTTTCCTAAAGAACTTCAAAGATAAAAAAAAACGTTTCCAACGAGAAACTTCCTCATGAAATGTTCAAGTGAATGAAAACATTTCTTGAAGTTTGGTACGATACATCTTTGTAGGATACTAACCGTTCGTAAAAAAAAACCGTACTCATACACTAATCAGCGAACTCATGAAAGTTAGTCTTCAAAAGAGCCTAATAATTTCCGAGAGGATATTAATTATGTTTATTTGCGGATAAACCTCCCCTAGGCTCACAGAGTACCTAAATTAAGAGGTGAAACAAACCCGCACGCGTTCTCCTTTCATCCAAGGCAAATAAATCCAACTGCCTTCTCAGGCCCCTTTCCATCCCATCCAACGCGATCCCATTGGCGCAGGTAAAAATTCTCTTCCAGTAAAGATATCAACCCTGTGGTAGACCTGGCAGACGTAAAACTTCCCGGCTCAACAAAGTGCTACTGATGCTCCTCTGTTGCCCGTGTGGTCCCAACTTTGTAAGCCGTCGTCGGTATACGGCTGGTTAGAGGAAGATAAATTAGAAGATGTTTTATGAATTTTAATGAAAGCAATGTGTTAGAGCTCTCGGAAATCGTACCCCGATCCATGGATCATCGTCTATTCCGTTCGGTCGGGGCCGCGTTCCTTTCATTAAAGTAGGAAGAAATGCAGTCACTTTCGTGAAAGTATTTTCACTCGTAGGAATTTGTTTCAATGTCTTCTTCTTCGGGTTAATATGTTCGTCCCCAACTAGAACTGAACGCGCCCACAACTGAGTGTTGCTTAAGCGCTTTCACAGATGTTAATTGAGATCTTCCAAAATGATAATCCAGACAAGTCTACATATTTCCACGCCTGAAAAAAATCCTACATCCGGATTGGAAACGAACGTAAAGGAAGTCCAGCTATACATTTACTATAATCAAGAATTGTAAAGTATGTGCGATAGCACATTTTGAGAAATTGTGTTGTTGACTGTTGTGCAAGTTCTATAACCAGCTAGAACTACCGTCTCACTGAGAAATAATTGAAGCATTAGTGTTGTATTTACATATTTGTTCATTTAACCCCTTCACTGTTCACCCTGACAGGCATTAGAGATAAAACTTTGCGTTAATTTATAATTCGCTGTGCAAAGAGCCCCTCTAGATTCTGTAAAGAAGACGTTAGCACGCTGTAGTAGATCACGACAAGATGGAAACTTAATTCCTAACACAGGAACACTCTTGCTCTCGTATGCTCCATAGCTAATGGTGGTTCACTTCTTCACTACTCATTAGTGAAGAATTATTAAATTCCTTGACACTCCTGACGTGTTGGACGAAACCGTTGGTTAGCATGAGAAGGATACAAATTGATTCAGTGTTTGCCTTCATTTGTCACCCAACTTTAAGATGATCCCCTCCATAAATTCTGAACTCATCAGTTCTGTCCCAAGCGTTTACAATCCGCTTGGTCTACCGGTTCTGCAAAAGTGCATGAAGGAGAAATAATTAAAATTTAAATTATCAAGACTCTCCCCCAATTTGACCGGCCATCCACGAAAGCCGACTGCAAATCGCTCTCTCACTTGTATTCCTCATGGGGGAAAACCAACGGACACGACCAGCTACTTATTGTTCATTGTCTAATTGCCCCGCGAAGATGCTGCTCATTTTCGCCTACTTTCTTGAAATATGTTTTTTTTTTGCCGCTCTGCAACAGGATTGAAAACAAAAAAAAAACATCAACCGAAAAGGGAGGAAACGCATTGTGCTTTTAACGGTCCAGCTATGCTGGTAACGGAAAGGAGCGGAAAAAAGTTTTAATTCCCGGAAATTAAAATTAAGAACGCTCCAGGAGGTGACCTGACAAGCCGAAAAAAAAAGAAGCTACTGTTTACAATTTATAATCCCTTGTTTAGTGCCGGGGAAAGTCAGTCAGATTTAAATGAAAGCAACAAAAAAAAAAAACGCCGAAATAGACAAGGGGTGAATTTAAAGTGGAACATTCTCGTGAAAGCAATAATGGAAGTGATAATCTCTGTTGGCATCTAGCGTACAATAAATTTTGATGAAGAATGTCCATGAGGGGATCAGTGAATCCTTCACGACTACTCCAGTGGTAACCCTTTTGTTGCTAGTTTGAATCATAATCTGTCATCAAACTCTCACGTAAACCGTTGGATAGAGAGATTTAAAAAAAAATCCACCTACCTCTGCCCGAGCGTCCAACAAAGCGTAGATCGTTGAACTTTGCCACCTGATTTTTCATGATAGCTGTGCAGTTCCGAAGTTCTCCGCAAAAGTTCTCATCGTTGCCTGCCGTCACAGTTACCATCGTTCCATCACCGACATCTCCTAGAGCCACCACTTTGAAGGCAATGGGTAACGTTTTGTTCGATCTCCAGTGATTCGGCAGAATGGTGCATACCTGTGAAAGAAAGTTATGTTTGATTTAACATTGGATTATTATTGCTTGAGTTTGTGATAATTTTTTTTTTGTTATAATAAGGTTTAGGATTGTTTAGAAAAATGTAAATGAAATTTCAAAAATACTGTTAAAATTCAGGTTGAACATAAAATTACATGGAAAAACGTTGGCCAAATGATAAATGGCGAAATGGATATTTGATCGAAAAAATAAGCCAACTGGACACGTTATTGTGTAGAATCGGATTATCTTGATTCTACCATAGTTTTGCCAACACAAAATTAATCAGAATGTAAAAAGTCATAGGGCACACACCTTGAATTTATTAGACTGCTAATAATAAAATAATATGTCCTTGTCCCAGGTGTAAAACAAACTGCGGAGTTCTAGTAAATATTAGGGAGGGTCTAGTATAAGAGAGGAGCGGATTCAAAATAAACTGCCTTGGTAACCTACACAATTAGATTTTTTTGCCGAGCAGCTCGGCAATCTATTTTGCTGGATCTCAGTGAAAAATTTGCCGAGATTCAGTTAACAAACGGTAATTTTGCCGAGATCTTGGCTTACAAACATAAATTTAGCTGAGATCTGTATTCTAGTAACACCCCAGACAACCAGAAGTCGTATAACAATGTACAGACAGTTTCGTAAATTGCTACAGTTTAAGTCAACATCGAATATAAGAATAGCATACATCGCATTATGTTTAAGTTAAATCGTATAGAATGCAAATTTCCGACTTACATACGAAGAACCAGTTTTACATCGTACTGTATCACAAATGAAATCGGATTACATCGTAAGACTTTCCAAATTGAGTTTGTTATTACAGATTAAATCGTATATAACGTTAAATCAACTCGTTTAAAAAGGAATTAAAATTTGCACGTATATGGCCTCCACTTTTGTACGTATAAGCCATTTTTTGCATTCTATACGATTTGTTTGTTTGTATATATGTTTGTAAATCGCAGAAACAACTTTGAATATACGTGCATTCTGGTTGTCTGGGACTCCCAATGCAATCAAGATAGGCGTTGCTCGATTGGCTCTGGCTTTAACAGTTTGTTTGGCTCAAAACCAGCCAGTCCGCTCTTCTCTTATACTAGACCCTCTTTAGTAAATATTATCATCCAAAAATATGATCATAGTAGCCATCTTTCAAGATAGGTTGTCTGTAAACTACGTACAGGCCAATTTAAAAGGCTGTAGCTTTTTTATTTGTCAAAAGATTTTACTAATTCTTTCGTAACTAGCTGCATCCACCGGAGCTCTGTAATATTAGATGAAATCTGCTCTAAAAACCATGAAAAGAAATTTATTGAAATTGTTTTTTATTGAAATACTTACGTTGTCTGTACCATGGGTTCAATTTGACCCCAAATTCAAATTACAGAATCTTAACGAAATTTCAATGGATTTCTGAAATTTAAAATTTGCAAAGTTAAATTTAAGTTTAAATTATCAGACTTTTGACGTAAAACTACGTCTTTGTCGACTATGCTGAGGTGCAAATCAAAAAAACATGTATGATTAAATAGTGTTAGATTTTGAACGCTTGTATCTTTGTCATTTATAGATGAAATTAAAATCCGAATATGCTTATCGATAGGATATTACGTTACAATTCTGCTGCAATAAATAATTTTTTTTTCAAATTTTCCGCAATAAAACTTTTGAAAATTTACAAATGATAATTTTATCATTGTTTTCATGAAATAAACGTTTTTCTCAAACCCAGTCGTCATGATCGAGTACCACTTGGTAGCACGTCGTTCTGAAAAGATATAAAACAGCACTGCTGTCATGCCTCTGCTCATCATTCTTTGCTCAACTGTTGAGCTGTTTAGTCCGTATTTTCGCTCGAGATCTTTTTTCGATTTTATTTCGTTTTGTGCTGTCGCGTTGCGCCGTGAAAGTGTCGCCACCTTTTCGCGTTCTGGCAAGTTTACTTGAACTTGCAAACACGAATCAAATGGTGCGTAAACGTGCCAATGAGACAGCAGCGGGCCCTTCAAAGAAGGTGCTAATCAAGCCCAGCGCGTCGCAGGATGACGCCGGAAAGCGGGTACTCCCAGTACTACCGGAAAAAATGGCGATGGTGACGCCGTGCTTATTGCAAGACGAGAGCGGATTCCCCCGTTTTCACGCCGGTGAAGGATGTTGCCAAGCTGGGTGCCAAACTGGCAAAACACAAGCTGCTGCCTCGCTTCAAGCTTTGCAGCATCGGTACCAAAATCTTGTGCTCCAGCCTGGAGGAGTACAAACAAATAACATGTTTCCTGAAGGACAACAACGTGGACTTCTTCACCCATGATCTGCCACCGAGCAAGCCACTGAAGGTGGTTTTGCGTGGATTACCGTCGTTCGAAGCGGCTGCGGTGAAATCCGAGGTGGAGCGATATGGGCTCAAGCCTGAGGCAGTGTACCCGATGAACCGGCGTTCCAACCAAAACACCAGCTTCCGTGATCAGTTGTTCATGGTGCAATTCACGAAGGGATCCACCAGTCTTGCTGTTCTGAGCATGAGCATGGGCATGATTGACCGCCCACGGTTGCTACTCTGTTATTGCCAGACCAGCTGTAATTACACAGAGAACCAATAGATGATGCTTGGGACTAGCAATCATCCTCAATGTGTAAAAACTGGTGATCTCAAACTAGGCAATACCAGCGCCAGCCGCACCCGAACACAGGTCAAGAAAGGAAGGGTTAGGAATGTGTTGACGTGACACTCGCTTTGATGGAAGCCTAGAACACCTCTGCACTTCCAAGAGGAATCACTGGGATGTTGGGTAAGAGGGTTTGGTTTGCAGCTGGGTTCGTTTTGGTAAAAGATAATCTGAATTGATGTCCTAACGTTCATATAACGCGAAAGAACTTGGGATTGAACCCACGGTCTTCTGCTCAGTAAGCAAAAACGTTTGCCACTAGGCAGACGAGCTCCTTTTCAAGCATCGAGTTGCTGTTATTACCATGTAGTTACATCAACCGGTGAACACTCGTGTTTATTTCAGTTACCATGGAGACGTATTTTGTGATTAGCCCCGGTCCCTTTCAAATTGTATCATTATTTATGAACGGCCTTATATTTGAAATGACGTTTCACATTCATCTAGTGATGTTTGATTTTCATTCGAATAATCGTTTAATCGATTAACGAACCGAAAAGTAAACTATTTATAATAGGTTAGATCATGCCGATATAAGCATTAACATCTCCACAGGATCATCACCGATCGTTTCAAACATGTGCTGCACTCTCTCTGGTGGAAAAATGGCAGCACAGCGAACAAAAAATAATCAATTAGTTGTTAATCGAGTAATTAAAAAATGGGACATCTCTGATTTTGGTGTGATTGTTTTGATAAAAATGAGCGCAAAATTTCATCTCTTCCGAGGGGGCAGCAAAACCACAAAATTACCTTGAATACGGGGGGTTCTCATTGGATGAAAGGGACCGTGAAAGAAGACACTAAAATAGAAAGTTTTTTTTCCGACAGTTTCATCTTAGTATTCATCTTTGGCTACATTATCAAATAAATCGATTGACGAATCTTGAATGTGGATGGGCCTGAGATTAGACTCATGATGTTCTGCTCAGTAAGCAAAAACGGTTGCTCTAAGGCCACCGAGCCCCTCATACACTATACAAAAGTGATTTTACTATAAATCTCTTTAATATAAAAGGGCCTGGGACCGCGTTTTTCTGCTCAGTAAGCAAGCCTGCAACCGACGATCTTTCAAATCCGAAAACTAAAAGCTACGAAAAAGTATTTAGTCCTTGATTAAATTCCACTTTCACGCGACGTTCAATGTTTCGATTTACTTTTTAACATTGTTCAAGGAAAGTGATGCGAACTTTTAAAGCATGGTTTATCAAAGAAGTAATGTAAAGGGGCATGGGTGCTCAGTAAGCAAAAACGGTTGCTCTAAATTCACCGAGCCATGTACATCACACCACGACTGATAATATATCAAGCCCGGGTAAAAAGCTAATCAAATAAAACGACGCCCCCGAAAGCAGTTAACAATGTTCTTCAAACCGGATCAACCATACGTCAAATTTTAATTTACTTATTAGTTTTTCCGTGCCATTACACCTGAGTTCTAGCTGATACGATTTTCTACAATAATGGCTTGGGATAGATCTTAATATCTTTTTTGCAGCAAGGCTCAAACATGTGTTTGAACCTGGGTCGATCAAAAGTCATATTCTACTGAAAGTAATGCTTTTGTAATCCATACCTAATCCGACAATTTTTCTCGCTCGTTCAAAATCGATATCGTACATCATAAAATACAATAAAACATTGTTAATGAACCTTAATAAATAAAACCTTAATACAATCAAAGTGCAGCACATGGATGATACGCGACTGAAAAATTTACAAAAAAATTAAACTAGCACACACCTACTACGCATCAAATCTTATCAACCGAGAGGCAAACCTGCTTGTTCGATAGGATCACGACATCACACATATTCAACTTTACAAATCTATCCACCCCCTATAGTTGAATTCCTCTTGGCTGGCACCTCCATCACTTATCAGCCGCAGGCCTAGCTCAAACAAGGTCACTTTATTCTTTCCCCTCTCCCCCTCAAATCACTCTGTGCACAAAAGCAATGCTCATCGCAAAAACTTAACAATAGATTAGCGCGGTCGAGTCACACCGACAACAAAGGGAAGCGAGAGCACACCAAGCACATAAGCAACAGGGGGTAAAACATCTGCACAAACCTTTGCAAATTAAACTATCTACCCGTGACACAGAACCCTCGAAAATCTCAACGGTGCAAAGCAGCTCGAACTAAAAAATAAAATAAAATAAAAATACACAGCGGAGCAAACAAACAACCGTTCTCGAACAACTCTCCAAGCGCACTCCATCTACCAGTCTTGCGGCTCTGAGATCCAAAATCCGGGACCTGTTTCAGGTCATCATCAGTTGGGAGCATAACAAACCCCAACATCGTGATGTAACGCATTGTATAA